CTATAAAATTGGGTTGATTAATGGTATAGTGCAAAATAAAATGGTTAGGAACTTAAGGTTGAGGTTTGAAATGTTCAGATACAATAGAAATGCATATTATATACAAATATGGGCTCCTATTGTGTTACTTCACAGTGCCATGCTTTTGGATGCACTGATATACATACCAGAGCGTGCCCTGATGGTGCCCACCTTGCATTTCTGCTGTTGTTTAGTGACATTTGGAGCTTACATAGAGACTTTCAAAAGAGCTTGGTAAGAATTTCACAACCTGCTGATCCCAGATATCAGGTTTAAAACATTGTACTGTGTGAAATGGGTAAGTACACTTAACTGTTTTCAGCAGGTGACTATAGAAAAGCATTGCCTTCAGAGTGCTAGGGATTAACAGAGGCGCTGGATGTTCTTGTGCATTTTGTATGTCTCTTAAGTAGCAAAAAATATCTTTACCACTGAGCTCAGCCATTTTGACTAAAAACTAGAGTTAGAACTGCAATATATAGACAGCATTGACAAGGCAGTGCAGCTTTCACATATATTTGTAAATGGTGACCACCTAAAACCACCAATTTTAATGCACATTGTTAGACAGTGTGATTTGCTGGCTAGCTGGTAAGTGTGCTGAGAAATACTTTTTATTTGTTTGCTGTGTGCAAAGCCCTTCCATGTGCACCTTACTCTAAAAGCTAATTACGATCTGGGGCGGTTGTTATTTTTGTTAAACAGAATAGTAATTCTAAAGAATAAAGGTACATTTTCAGGATGTACAAAAAGTCATATTGAGCCACATATCTAAATACCATGTAGGGTGACATGACTGTACATTTATCAGTATTTAAAGCACAATTGTTATACAAAAGGATATTTTTCCCCGCTGAGTTACTTTCTAGGGTGTAGTTTGTGAAGTCTAAGACATCTTCTTCCATTTACACTGCCATTTGATGCTGTCATTACTATACATTATTATACAGCATGTTGATTTATGTATTTTTAAGGTAAATTCAAGACAGATGCATTAATTGCTGTGCGTAGTAGTTGTTGCAATATGCTGATTGTGATAAAAAAAAAAACGAAATATATATTCCTTTAGAATTAGATTATCGTAAAAAAAAAAACAACAGACTTACTCATTGATGAAGCAGAACTACTCACTTACTTTTCATTGTTTGCTCAATACAGTTCCTCTTGAATGTTCTCAGTGTACCTCCTGTTCATCTGAAAATAAAGAGAAGTGCTATGGTTTCATTGTTTTAATCCTCCAAGTCTATTACTCAATGATGTGTTTGCACTTCTGTTTTTTTTTTAGCAGTCTTCTTTTTTTTTAAATATTGGTACAGTACTCCTTATATATTAATAGTTAACTGCCTGTTTGTCAATTTGTTAGTGTGTATGTGATGAATGAAAAGCTTTTTCAAGCCATGACACCCACGTGTGCAGCCCAATTACTGTGTGGATCCACTTTCATAGTGCTAGCATAATTAAGTGATACTGTTGATGGCTCTTGACTATTTGACATCAGGCTGATGTGGCTTTCATATCTATGAGCTTTTCATGTTCTACATGTTATTGTTGCTTGTCAAATTAGGGGCATGACATAATTTATTCTTCTATACCAACGTTTCATGAGATATCGAAAAGTGCAACTCTGACCAGGCTATGGACAATATAATATTTACATTTTCTTAGCATTAAAGAAGAACTCTGGGATAGGCAAATAAATCACCCATTATTACACCTCCTACACAAAACACTAAACAGTTAATAGAATTTTGAAAATCCTTACCATTTAGGAGAAAAGTCTAAGTGAATTTTCATGAACTAATCTCTGTGATAAAAAAGGTAACAGCATCTTCTCTGCCAAGGGGGAGGTGTAACAGAAAAGATTACATCATATCCTCTCTACCCTTTCTGCAGTAAAAGGAAACTACAGTTCCCATCATCCACAGGGAATTGTAGTGAATGTGGGTGGGTACACTAGACCTGTACATGTTGAATGTTGCTATGATTTGATCCCTGAGTGATCAATCAACCTGATTTAGGCCAGTGATGGTCGGCCTAAATTGGATGATCGATCCCTGTCCTATCAGGGATCCTCCTGTACCTGTGTTTACAGTTACACAGGTACAGGAAGTGATGAAATCTTCCATCCCAGAGAGAGAAGAATCAAGACACATGTAAAGTAAAACAGCACACTTTTCACAGTTAGAACACTTTAGGACACATTTAACCCCTTAATCGCCCCCCCCCCCCCCAGTTAACCCCTTCACTGCCCTGTCACCAGATTTATTAGTACAGTGTACCGATTTTTTGCTGATTACTGTATTAGTGTCGCCGGTGACTTCAGATAGCGTTAGTGTCAGTTAGCGCCCCTCCCAGATAGCGTCAGATACCTGTCAGTACACCAGTAATCACATTAAACCCCTTGATTGCCAGGAACATGCTCACATACACAATAAACCTCCATTGCTAGTATAATGACTGAACAAATCAATATCTTTGATCAGATCAGCACTATACCAGCGTTCACATTAGTATAGTGTCCCCAAAAATGCAGCATCAGCCCCAGAACTTGGCATCATCTGCATTTACCCCCCCCCCCCCCAGCAAGTGCAGTGTCAGTAGGTCACTGTCAATTGATACATTGCACACAAAACCGCAGTGTTCGCAGAATCAGGCCTGATCTCTGTTAGCACTTGCCGGTAATTTTTTTTGTAGCTGTTCAAGCAGTCCCTGAAAGCCAGGTGCTCTTTTCCCGGTGCATTGCACTAGGTATCTATAAATTTAGTGGCCAAAATTTCAATGGAAAGGCCCTCTAGTGAAGAGGCCTACAGTATTCTGAGCATGTCAGATGAGAGCGAAGGGGAAGACTCACTGACACAATCAGCCTCAGAATACAAATCTGTAGACAGCAGCGGCTCCCTGACAGGTAGCTCAGACAATGGAGAAGAGGTCCGTGCTAAGGTCAGGTGTACCTGACCCCGTTCCCAGGTTGCTGAGATGTTACAAACACATGATGACTCTCATATGCAGCAGAGTGCCAGTACTAGTACCGCTCTACCTTTTGGTGAACTGGCGAGCACCAGTGGCTTAGTACATCCTGGTCTTATACATACCAGCACTGCAGTATCACTTGGTGACGTGTCGAGTCCCATAAGTGCAGTACAAGCTGGTGCGGTGGCGAGCACAAGTAGTGTCCTGCAGTCACCAAGAATTCACACACAGGCCCGTAGAGCCCCTAGTATCCTCGCGGATGTGCTTGCAAATCCCAACTGGCAGCCCACAAATTCTGCAGCACCCGTACTTCCCCCATTCACTGCCCAACCCGGAATTCAGGTGGAAACAGCAAATTTAAATACTCCCCTTGATTTTTTGGAGCTGTTTTTCACACAAGATCTGTATGCATTGATTGTGGATCAAAGCAATTTATATGCAGAACAGTTTATCGCCGCCAACCCAAATTCAAACCTTGCCAGACCATTCACATGGAAACCCATTACGGTTTCCGAATTTAAAGTTTTTTTTTTTTTTTTTGGTTTGGGCCTAACCCTCAAAATGGGCATTACTAAAAAAAATTAATTGCGGTTGTATAGGTCCACAGACCCGATTCATCATATGCCCGTGTTCTCTGCTGCCATGGCCAGGCATAGATATGAGAGTACAATGTGTTTTATGCATTTCAACGACAACACACTCTGTCATCTTCGAGGTGACCCTGAATTTGACTGGCTCCACAAAATTCAGCCCCTCGTAAATCACCTTACCCAAAAAATTGCAGATGTCTATACTCCCCAGCAAAACATCTGCAATGATGAGTCCCTCATTAATTTTTCTGGCCGCCTTGCATTCAAACAATTTCTTCCCAGCAAGATATGGGGTCAATTTGTATAAGACCTGTGAGAGGGCAACAGGCTATAGATATGTTTCCGATTTACAAAGGAAAAGATAGTCATGTGGAGCCCCCCAGATGCCCAGGCTACATGGGGAGCAGTGGCAAGATAGTTTGGGACTTGGTGTTATCCTTTTTCCATATGGGGTACCACTTATACGTGAAAAAAATGTATTAAAGCGTGCCACTATTTAGACATTTGTACAATCTTGTAATTGTGGCACTGTGCGACCTAATCACCAAGGCTTCCCCCAAATGCTTGTAAATACCCGTCTTAGAAAGGGGGAAAAAAGCCTGCTTGAGAAACGAGGAATTGCTTGCGGTGAAGTGGAAGGACAAACGGGATGTTTTCGTCCTGTCTTCCATTCACACAGACACGACCATCCAAATTGCCACAGCAGCTGGTGTTGTTGAGAAGCTCCTCTGTGTCCACGACTATAACCCTAACATGGGAGGGGTGGACTTCAACGACCAGATGATGAAACCGTAGTTAGTTTCCCGAAAAACCATACGCTGGTACAAAAAGTGTCTGTTTATTTATTTCAATTGGCTCTATATAATGCTTTTGTGCTTTACAAAGCAACTGGACGAAGTGGATCCTTCCTAAATTTCCAGGAAGAGATCAACATGTATTTGTATCCAGAAGGTGCTGTGGCCCAAACCCCCAACACAGATGCAATTAGCTGGCTGCATGAGAGGCATTTTCCCAATGCCATTCCTGGTACCCCAACCCAAAGGACACCCCAAAAAGATGTTGTGTCTGTAGCAGACATAGAATTAAGAGTGACACCCGCTTTTTTTGTCCCTCCTGTCCTGGCCAACCTGATCTCTGCCTCAAAGACTGCTTCCGTCGCTACCACACACTAGTGGAGTATTAGTATAGGGTACAGCACGGCACAGTTCAGGGCACATATTTACACAGGGTCTCGAAAGATGTTAGGTAGTCAGGAAACTGACATTGGGAGAGACCCTACAATCTGTTTTAAAAAGTTTAAGTTTTAAAAAAAAAAAAAAAAACGTAAAAAAAACACATAAAAAATAAAAAGTATAAATCCACCAAAAAATTTAAAATGTTTAAAACCAAAAATAGTTATAGTTTTTTTTTGTTGTTGTTGTTGCTGTTCTACTGTTACAATTTTACTGTTTTATTGTTACTGTTTTATTGTTAACCATTGCTGTTTTCTTTGCAAGAATGTCATTCAGCTGCAGCACTGACTTGTTTACTCTGACAGCAATAGGGTCTTGCTCTCAGAATATACATAAGTAGGTGTGTGCAGTGCTGCTGAATGAGATTTTTTTCATCTGCAGTTAAAAAAAGAGCATATATGCCGAAGCATGGGGGCCTGGGGTAGCCAGTGGGTGGATGGATGCTTTGGCATATATATTTTATAATATTTATTTCATGTGTGCCCACCATTAGAAGTGGGTGGATGCAGGGTGGTATATTCTAATGGTGGGCATACCACACACTTTTTCTGGCAGAGATTTCTTCTCTTTTTTTCATTCAGCCCACAGGTTGCATAAAAAAAAAAGAACATAGCATATATAACCAACAAGGACCAGCGATGTAGTGGTACATCACTGGACTTTGAGTGGTTATACCAGTATGAAGCCTGCAGCTGCAGGCATCATCCTTGTATCGTTTTTTTCAGCCTGCGATCGACTTTCATGTAAAAGCAATCCTAGTGTCTAATTAGCTGCAGGATTGCTTTTACAAGCAGTGGGAGAAGATCCCCCCCCCTCCCCCGCTGCCTTCCACGGACTTCTCGGGCAGTCCCGTGCCATTGGGGGAACCTGAGAATGCAGCCAGTGTTTCTGCCAGCTGACCATAGAGCTGATTGGAGACTGGAATGGTGCCAATCATCTCTATAGTCTAAGAAATCAGAAGCTACGAGCATTTCATCACTTCAGTTTCACAGGATATAAACAGCGCCATTTGTAGATTGGGAAAGCATCTGATCACACCGATCTTGGCGAGATTAGATAATGTAAGGGCAGAAGAGATATCTGATAGACCCCAGGTTTCTCAAAAAAAGAATATATGACAATGCAATGAAAGTTATAGGCGATATTTGCATTCCCTGTGATAGTATTAAAAGTGATTAAAAAAAATGAAAAGAACAGTGTAATAATAATTTTAAAAATCAAAATAACTTGAAGAAAACAAAACACCCTCGCCTCCACGAGTGTTGACCTCTTGCCAGTATGTAAACAGCGGTTGTACCATGCATGTGAGGTATCGCCGCGAACATCAGATCAAGGGAAGTAATTCTAGTACTAGACCTCCTCTTTAAATCTAAAATGGTATCTTGTAAAGGCTTTTAAAGCATTGCCTATGGATATTAAAAATGTATGCAGTTTGTTGCCATTGCACGGGGCATGCGCAGTTTTAAACATGTCATGTTTGGTATCTATTTACTCAGCACAGCATCATCGTTTATATGTTACCAAATAACTGGCCAATATATTGTGTTTTGTGCATTAAAAGTAAAAAAAGTGTATTTTTTTTCATAAAATTTGCATTTGAAAAATCGTTGCACGAGTATTGTGACATAAAAATATGTGACGTAAAAAATTGCAGCACCCACCTTTTTATTCACTAGGGCAGTGATGGCGAACCTTTTTGAGCCCGAGTGCCCAAACTGCAACCTAAAACCAACTTATTTCTTTCAAAGTGCCAACACTGCAATGAAACCTGAATATCGAGCTTTTGGTTTAGCAAACTAATTAACAGTACAGGGATGACCAGAGACTGCAGACACAGTACAGGGATGACCAGAGACTGCGGACACAGTACAGAGACTGCGGACACAGTACAGGACGATGACAGGACTGCGACAGGCAGAGATGACCAGAGACTGCGGGATGACACAGTACAGGAGATGACCAGAGACTGCGGACACAGTACAGGGGATGACCAGAGACTGCGGACACAGTACAGGGATGACCAGAGACTGCGGACATAGTACCAGGAGATGGTCAGAGACTGCGGACACAGTACAGGAGATGACCAGAGACTGCGGACACAGTACAGGGATGACCAGAGACTGCGGACAGTACAGGGATGACCAGAGACTGCAGACACAGTACAGGGGATGACCAGAGACTGCGGACACAGTACAGGGATGACCAGAGACTGCGGACAGTACAGGGGATGACCAGAGACTGCTGCAGACACAGTACAGGGATGACCAGAGACTGCGGACAGTACAGGGGATGACCAGACTGCGGACAGTACAGGGACTGAGACGCGGACAGTACAGGGATGACCAGATGACCAGTACAGAGACTGCAGACACAGTACAGGGATGACCAGAGACTTCAGACACAGTACAGGGATGACCAGAGACTGCGGACAGTACAGGGATGACCAGAGACTGCAGACACAGTACAGGGATGACCAGAGACTGCGGACAGTACAGGGATGACCAGAGACTGCGGACAGTACAGGGATGACCAGAGACTGCGGACAGTACAGGGGATGACCAGAGACTGCGGACAGTACAGGAGATGACCAGAGACTGCAGACATAGTACAGGAGATGACCAGAGACTGCGGACAGTACAGGGATGACCAGAGACTGCGGACAGTACAGGGATGACCACAGACTGCGGCGGACAGTACAGGAGATGACCAGAGACTGCAGACAGTACAGGAGATGACCAGAGACTGCGGAAAGCACAGGGATGACCAGAGACTGCGGACAGTACAGATGACTGCTGACCTTTGGGGAGGGAGGGGGAGCGGGTACCTGAATTTGACAGGTATCCGCTCTTACTTCCGCAGAGTTTTTTTTTATCTTACCTGTTCCTTTATCCAGCCCGCGCGCTGTCTTCCCGGCTTCTGTAGTGTGGGCGCTCGTCGGACAGCCGGATGCCCAGTGCGCATGCGCGAGAAGCGCTGCGCTTTGTGATTGGTCTGGCGGCTTCTGGGATCTGTCATGTGTCCCAGGTACCGCCTTACCATTCACAAAGAGCACTGCTTCTTGCGCATGCGCACTTGGGACCCGGCTGTCACGCACACTACAGAAGCCGGGAAGACAGCGCGCCGCTGGATAGAGGGACAGGTACGGTCCCACTGCAGAGCTGAGCGGCCGGCCCGGTATTCTGACATGGCAGCGGTGGAAATACCGGACCGGCCGCTCTTTATTCGCTCCATAAGACGCACTGACATTTTCCCCCCTTTTTTGGGGGAAAAAAAGTGCGTCTTATGGAGCGAAAAATATGGTATTCTCCTGGCATGCCCACAGATAAGGCTCGGCGTGCCGGCTGTGGCACGCGTGCCACGGGTTCGCCATCACTGCACTAGGGTGTCTGCTTTAAAAAAAATATAAAATGTTTGGGGTTCAAAGTAATTTCCAAGCAAAAAATACTGATTTTTTTCATGTGAACAAAAAGTGTCAGAAAAGAGCGAATGATGTGTGGCATAAACTTCTAATACTGGGAATAAAATGCCCCCCCAAATGACCCCCTTTTTGGAAAGTAGATACCCCAAACTATTTGCTGAGAGGTATGTTGAGTCAATAGAAGAACTTCTTTTTTTACCACAAGTTTTTGGAAAGTGCCAAAAAAAAATATTTTTGTTTTTTTTACACAAAATTGTCACTTAAATGATTTATTGCTCAAACATGCCATGGGTATATGTGGAATTACTCCTCAAAATACATTCTGCTGCTTCTCCTGAGTATGGGGATACCACATGTCAGAGACTTTTTGGCAGTCTAGCCAAGTACATGACCCCAAAATCCAATAAGCACCTTCAGGCTTTTAAAGGGCTTTAATTCCTGATTACACTTCCTGCCTACCTATCACAGTTTCGGAGGCCCTGAAATAGCAGGATAGCACCACCCCCCCCCCCCCCCAAAAAAATGACCCCTTTTTGGAAAGTAGACACCCCAATGAATTTGATAAGAAGCATGGTGAGTATTTTTCAGATCTCCAAAAGTTTTTTAAAAAAACTTGTGGAAAACTAATTAAATCTTCCATGGACTCAATATGCCTCTCAGCAGATAGCTTAGGGTGTCTACTTTCTGAAAAGGGGTCATTTGGGGGTGTTTGTACTGTCCTGGTATTTTAGCACCTCAAGAAATATGATAGGCAGTCAAAGTAAAAGCTGTGTAAATTCCATTATCTATACCATAGTTTGTAGACGCTATAACTTTCACACAAAGCAATCAATATACACTTATTGGGATTTGTTTCTACCAAAAACATTTAGCAGAATACATTTTAGCCTAAATTTATGACAAAATTTTAGTTTTTGGATATTTTTTATGACAGAAAATATTTATATGAGAAAATATTGTTTTGGTTTTTTTTTTCAAAATTTTCGGTCTTTTTTTGTTTATAGAGTGAAAAATAAAAAGCGCACAGGTGATCAAATACCACCAAAAGAAAGCTTTTTGTGTGAAAAAAGGACATAAATTTTGTTTGGGTAAAGCACTGCATGACCACGCAAATTACCAGTTGAAATAGAGCAGTGCCAAATAGCAAAAAAAGGCCTGGTCAGGAAGGGGGGTAAATCCTCAGGAGGGAAAGTGGTTAATCATCTTAGCTGTGGGTACTGTGGAACAATTCATCCTCAAAATCACTTCAATTTCTAGCTGCTCAGCTCCCCTGCTCACCCTTTCTAGCATTGACTTGCCAACCTATAAGCCTTTTAATCGATAATGTTAAAGCCCAAATCCACTCACCAGTGTGTTAACCAGCTGGGGGATTTACCAAAGATGGGGTACACAGGAAGAGGTGCGCATAATGTTGAGAGCCAGCTTGAAATATTTCAGTGCTTCTCTTGTGAACCAGATCAAATTGCTCCACAATGTCTGTAACTACAGAAGTCAGTGAGTTGTTAACAAGCTGTTAATTAACAAGCTGTTAATTAACTGTACATTAACTGCTTGTTAAGAAAATACTTGAATGTACATAACCTAACTACATGCCTAATGTAATTGCTGTGATAGCCTCTGATTGGCTATCACAGTGATCAGTCACTGTATAGCCCGCCCCCCTTTTTTTTCTCTATGAATGGAGGAGAGAGATACATCTCTCTAACTCCTGGCATAGAGGGAAAAAAAATGTTTTGTTAAAAAAAAAAAGATAAATAATATATAAATATATAAAATAAAGAAAAATTACTTAGATCAAGGTTTGATCTAGTTCAGTGCCAGGGTAAGTGTTGGGTCAAGGTCAAGGTCAAAAGGTCAGGATTTGTTTTTTTAATTTGTATCAGTGTCAGTTAGTGTCAGTGTCTTTTAGGTAAAAAAAAAAAACCCAAAAAACAAAATGCGCACTACTGTTTTTGGGCTGTACTATCAGTACAAACAACAAATAACATACACATATATGGTATCGCTGCGATCGTAAAGAGCTGGAAAATGTATTTTGTATTGTTCTGTGGTGGTAGGTTATGGTAGTAACAAGAAACACACAGCTAAATTTAAAAAAATATATATTTTTTTACTGTTTTGGGCCAGTTTTCCTTTGATAAAAAAAAACAATCAGGAGATATCCATTACCATTTACCACCAAATGAAAGCCGAATTTGTCCTGAAAAAAACAAGGTATAATTCACCTGAATGTACAAAGTAGTTGTGATGATATGTACGGTTTTACTAACACGTGTCAACTTTGCAAAATTGTGCTTAGGCATTAAGATTTGTTTTACCCTGAGGCGTGAAAGGGTTAAAGTAGAATTCCAGCTTATACCTAACTAGCCTTAAAAATGCCCCCCGCCTCTGACCCCCCTTCTCCCCCTTTCTGACCCCCCTCTTAATGGAGAGCGCTCAACAATGGTTGGGAAAGCCTGGAAATGGTGATATAACCCATAGTTTTCCATTTTCCAGCTATTGTCAGCACTCCCTCCTCTCCCCTGCAGCCGCACTGGCTGATACAGGGGAGCTGGATTACATGACTGGACCAGAGTGGGCTGAAAATAGGAAAGTTCAGCAGATGGTACTGTGGTTTACACCCAGATTCGCTGGGGGGGAGCAGTTGCAGAATGGTAAAAACATGGCTCAACTGCATGCTTTTACCTATCCCAATATAAATGAGGCCTTAGGGATTTTGCTACAACCCTTGTGCTCTCTGCTCTCAGCACTACAACATCCTGTTTTCACAGATCCCAGAGAGATTTCAGAAAGTGAAGGTAGTGCACAACCAGCATACAGGAAAGGTAGCTGTATTGGTGCATTTGCAACAACACAGATAAGTTCTGCCCGCAATGCTTCTCCTCTTTTTTTTTTTAATTTGCGCTAACAGTTAAATCATCAGGATAAGATTTTGGTTTGACCCCATTCTTATAAGGTCTGGTCAGTACTGCTTGGACCTTAGAAGAAGAGGGTATACCCCGAAAGATTGTCCTGAAACTTTAACTATACAAAAATAAAAATAGTATTGTGGACAGTCAGCACTCAAAGTACACACAGCACATGCAGTCAGAGCACATATTGACTGAGTACACATACAGAGCATGCATAGTCAGAACATACAATCAGCTAAGGTACCACTTATTGTTGTGGTAAAAATAGTTTAACCACTTGCCCTCCTGAGGATCCCCCCCCCCCCCTTCCTGACCAGGCCATTTTTTGAGTTATGGAACTGCGTTATTTTAACTGAGAATTGTGCGGTCATGCAACGCTGCACCCAGATAAAATTTAAGTCCTTTTTTTCCCCACGAATTGAGCTTTCTTTCAGTGGTATTTGATCACCTGTGCGTTTTTTATTTTTTGCTCTATAAGCAAAAAAATACCAACAATTTTGAGAAAAAAAACAATATTTTGGACTTTTTGCTATTAAACATATCCAGTAAAAAAATTTAAAAAAAATCTAATTTCATCATAAATTTAGGCCAAAATGTATTCTGCTACATGTCTTTGCTAAAAAAAAATCCCAATATGTGTAAATTAATTGGTTTACGTGAAAGTTATAGCGTTTACAAATGGCGGTATAGATACTGGGATTTTTTTTTCTTATTAGTAATGGCGACTTTTAGCAGGACTGCGGCGGGCATTCTGACACTGGGGGGGGGAACTAACTTGGTGTCACTGACATCCCCAGTGACACCAATACTGTGACCAGTGCTAAAAAACAGCACTGGGCAGGAAAGGGTTAATGTGAAGGACAATCAAAAGGTTAACTGTGTGTAGGAAGTGTTTTACTAGGGGGCGGATGTGCTTCACTGTAAGCACACTGATCGGGATAGCTGTGCTGTTCACAGCCATCCCGAGCAGTGTGCCCGAGCTGACAAGGGAGGAAGACTGTAAAAAAAACAGTCTTCCTCGCCATCGGTGATTTCGTAGTCATCGTGCGCCAGTGGGTAATCACCGGCCGGGACCCGGTGATTGACATTGGCGCGCCCCCTACATGGAAATGTAAAATCACGTATATATACATGATTTTGCACACCCATGCCGCCATGTAGCAATATATCTGCTATATGGCAGCAGGTAAGTGATTAAAAACCATAGCAGAAGCATGGTGCAATTACTTCTTCTTCCTTAACCACCTCAATACCGGGCTCTTTTACCCCCTTCCTGCCCAGGCCAATTTTCAGG